CATACTCAACCACTACAATCTCCATTGTTAACCACCGTGGGGCACCGTTGAAGACCAATCTTGGAACAACCACTTGCATTTCGGTGGTCAGAAACGCATCCCAAGCATTCTCAAATTGACACTCAAAGTGTTCAGAAGACTCTGCATCTCATCAGTCAGCGTCTTCACCTAACAGGACTTTGTCATATCATCTGCGTATTCTAGGTCTAACGAAAATTCTCCTGTGATTAGGCCAACCTCTGTGTGGTCGGGTGACGAGAGAGACACCTCCATAAGAGTATCTATGATAAAATCGAATAAGAATGGAGACAGTGGACAGCCTTGACAGACACTATTCGATGAGCATAGCTCCCTGGACATCTCACCATAGGCTCTAACACGCCCACAAGTGTTCGAGTAGAGAACTTTGAATAAGGTGATGTACTTACTCTGCACACCTTTCAGTGAGAGACATAGCCATAAGATTTTCCAATCAATGGAGTCGAATGCCACCGTCTTCAGGTCGAGAAATACAGCTAGTGTCGGGCATCAGTAAGCGTGCCTATGTTCCAGGACCTGGTCCAGTGTGAATATTTTGTCGATACACCCGCGACCAGGTCTGATACTTGCCTGTCTGGTTTTCTCGGTCTTGCTGTTCCCGAGCTCCACTCAGGCGTCGAAGAACTGTAGAACCTAGAATGTTCGTCAGGCTGATTCCTCTGTGGTTATCACAAGAAGACTTCTCGTCTTTCTTGAAGACTGGGATAATCAGTGATGTAGACCAGTCAGAGAGGATCGTATTTGATTCCCACATACTGGTTAACACTTCCGTTAACCTGACTAAAAGCACCTACCTCACGACCATCCTTGTATACCTCAGGAGTTAATCCGTCTGGTCCTGCTACCCTTCCTCGTTTCATGTTACCTACAGTTTTCTCGATTTCTGCAAGTGTTGGGGGGGGCTATCTCAATATTCCATTCAGGATCTGACTGGATAGCGGGCAACATAATGGTGGCTGGAGGCCAGTTAAACTGTTCCTCTAAGTGTTCTTTTCGTCGTTCCAGTCGCCTCGTCTGCCAGTGAATCGCAGACCCGTCCTTCTCCGCTATAGTCTCACTAACCGTTGTCGATATTTTCCCCCAGTTTCCTTAATAAGTCTAAATAATTGTTTACTACTACCAATCGACGCTGCTTTTTCCATCTCTTTAACCTTCAGTGCCCACCATTATTCGCGGTCGTTGCGTAGACTTTTTTCAACCTACTTTTAACTTGTGCTCGCTCTTCATTGTACTCAGAGCCTGCAACCAGGGATGTGCTCACGTGTATCCACTAGTTCGGAAGAAGCTACTGATATCCACTGGCTCATTTTAGTCACTGTTTCGGAGTCGGCTACGGTTTTCGGCGCTGCTTTTACAGAAGACTGGAGGTGGCACCAAGCTTCTTCTGGAGGAGTGATAGTCTTTTGTTCCGATGACTGCCTAGCCAACTTGTCACTGAGCACGACTTTGGTGTTTTTGTTGTCCAGCTGTACTCGTGGTGGTTTTGTTGCCAAATGTTTCCTATGTCTATTGAGACGCCACCATTTTAGTGAAAGTTTCTAAGCTACTAAACATATACGCTGATAACAAAGTAAATAATCTGTATGAATAATAAACATGAGGATCAATGTCCAGAAACATTCTATGATGACATTTTCCAATAAAATTCATCTTTTAAAAAAGTAAACGAAAACCATTGACTGGATCGTTTTAATTAAATAAAATGTACTTGAATCGATAAGATCTGGCGAAATGGATTAGGCAATCGACTTTCTAAAGATAAATCCAGGGTTTTTTTTCTACTTTTGTAGTTCGATCTGATCTAATAGATATAATGAGCTTTCAACTATTAATTGCGGTGTTCACAGCCTACTACATACTCGCGTACCTGGTTTCAGCTACCGAAATGTATACTAAAAGAGCAGGCTGAGCAATTAATGCGATGATGAAAAGATAGTTATGGAATATATATTTCTATGACATCTAGGGATTCTTAGAGACTGAAGTAAAACTGCGATCTGGTTAGTAGCTGCATTTACCTGCTCAGCTGATATGAGATTAAATCGCTAGTCTGAAAGCAACTGCTTCGAACCCTGCAACTACTGAAATTTTCATTTCAATTTTAGCCAATATTGTACAACAAAAAAATACACTATACTGCATTTTATACAAGGTGACATTTCCAAAGAATATTGATTATGGATGACTTTATGCGGTACAAAACAGGAAATGCGAATGTTTATATGTTGGGCTACGAACCAAGCAAATCTTGTAACAGATAACAATGGTTAGGCAAACAAAAACAGGGTTACATGCATAGGATCGTAACGTAAACACTGAATGGTCGATAAATGAGTATCCCAACAACTAAATAATAACCTCAAGACAATAAGTAAAAGCATTTTATTTGTGATCGATAAACGCCACGTTTCCCAAACTACTAGAAAATATACCACAAAATTAGTATATATTTTCTTACTCTAATCGGTTTAGCACAATTCAATCGATATTGTTTAGCTGGACTTCATTACAAAATATTGGCACAAGTACTCGCTCAGAAGTACAGACAATCTTTCTCGTAGCTACATACTATTCAACACATTTGGTAATAGCGTTTTAGATATCTGGTTTGAGTACACTGCATACTTAGTATACTCTAATATATCTTTTGGATCTGCTATATCACTCACATGACAGAAGTATTTGCGTTCAAAAATCCACATAAATTATTCATCTTCCTTCGAATTTGAGTAGTACATCCATACAGATGACTAACCACAAATTAACTGATGAATAAATGAACTTGTTTTCTATCGGTATTATTTACAAAAAGTATCCAAAGCTTTCTAAAAAACTCCCTACCGCATTTATAACTTACTTAAAACGCAATAAAGTAATCAAGCATGGTACATTTCATTCCGCGAAATTGTAAGATTTTACAACTTCAAATGACCAACTCAAAGAATTTTTTTTCTTGTTAAGGGATTATTCTAGTCCCAATCAACTTTGAAAATGTGAATATAAAACGTTAGTTGGTTCTACCTTTAAAACTGTTCAATGTCACTAAACCAGTGGTCATGAAAGTGTTAGACACACTAGCAGCAAGATCGACATTAACGTGTATATTTTCTCGAAAGGATAGTTCTTCATAAGGTACACGATAATGAATGAAATGAATGTGAAAAAGACCTCAACAACAACTTCAGCTTGATAGGTGTTCTAATCAAGATGTTCCAACTTCTAAGGACATTAATTTGTAGTCAGCAATACTGCTACATTCCTGTGGCTAATATGTTGAATACAACATCTAATGCAATATATCGTCCTTAAGAAAAGCATCCTGGCAGACAATACTAACAACTCGACTTCAGTAAGGGAACTTAAATGACTTGTTGTTCACGGTTAGAATGAAGTTATTTGAGATATTTTATTGAGGTAATAGCCAACTAGGTTCACCTACAAAACATGTTTAACTTCTAAGGCCACATTTCAAGCGAATCTGCTTTCGTTTACATATAAATTATCCATTCTATTCACTTTTGTAACAGCCGATTTAAGATAAAAGTTGTATACATATTTTTTTATTGTGCAGTTCTCATTAGAAGGTATCATTCAAAATGCAAAACGATAAGCAGGACTGTATACCTTACTATGTTGTTAGTGAAAATAATACTGCATATTTCTAAAGAAGCAAACTGAAATTTCTTAGATATCTCCATATCTGAAATGTAGACACATTGTAGTTCAACAGTACAACACAATCCCATTAAAGGTGACTTCATCAGAAGATATATTTTGTTTTACCCTTGTGTGAAGACACCGTTAATCGCAAATGTCTTAGCAACACAGTAAAACTTCAGAAAAATAAGCAGTTCCCAATATATCAAACACCACATTTAAATCGACACTTCTTGAACAAGATCAACTTAAGAAAAGGCATAACAATCATTAAGATGTTAAGAACCACGTATGTTAACCGTCAGTGACAATAAGAAGGGAGACTACATCGAGGCATAAAAATTGACTGGTATCAAATACACTTGACGAGTTTATGTTGCCCAACTAACAGAAAACCTACAGTCGGTGTGAGTTTACTCGCACAATACAAAAGTTATATTGGTGAGCGTCAGAAAACTGACGAAAAGTTGTTCAAATGACAAATATACGGGATTCTCTGTAATTTAGTCTTTGATGATGGATACTTCACCAACAAGTTGGGTAGATAGATGCATGAATGCAAATTAAAGATTTGCTGCTCACAATCTTTAAATACAAATATTCTGTTATGCTGAAAAATTTAAATGATTGGTAGAATTTAAAAAACGTACACCATAACAGTGTGTTATGATTTCCTCCATGATACTTTGATATCCTTGATTGTTTATTCCCACATGTGCCTATTCACATATAAGATTTATGGAACGAGAACACGGTAACCGCGTGACTTTTATCATACTCATGATTCTTAATTTTACGTTCTTATGACAAAAATAAGAGTTTGAGTAAGTAAGAAATATAAACATTTTCAAAGTAGCTTAATTATTTAGCGATTTTTCGTTTCTTCACACAACATGTGGTCTAGTTTTAGAAATTTTTACTTACCATCTTCAGGTATTTATTCATAAATAAAAACAAATCAATACAAGAATCCTGACGCAAAATATCTAACTAGGATAAGCAGTGTTGAGGCCACGCTTAGCACTCCAGGCAGAAGAAGTGGATCGGTTAATAGGGTAAAAATCACTAAGAACAACTATCTACTGAACGGTATGAAGTTGAGGATGCCAGATATCATTCAGAAGTCTTCCAGGATTGTCATAAAAATGGTTCAAATGGATTAGCAGAGTACTTATAACATAGAAAACCGCTTGTAGCCAATATTTTCTTGATGTCGTTAGTCTTGTAAGACATATAAAATTATTATCTAATCAAAGTGACAGAACTTCAGTGCAAAACCCCATATACACTGACACTAAAAAAACTCACATGCTTCTTAGCCCAAGAGATTTTCTCCTTCTAGCACCTGGAGAATTGGTATATTTATTTGACGACTGCGAATTAGAATAGTTGTGATTGTCAAACTGATAAGGACCATAACATTGAGCTTCTGATGGTAAAGCAGAAGCTAAAGGGACTCCTTGGTCAAAACTTGAGAATAATTCACTTAAACTAGATTGAACAGCCGAAAAAAATGACTCAGAAATACTTGGAGATCTTGGTACAACTCTACCATAATAAGTATTCGTTGAAACTTGGTGCACACGAGATTCACGATCTCCTCGGAGTCGTTCAGCTAAACGCACTGCATCTTGTAATTCCAAGAACTTTTCTTTGTAATTGTTGCGCTCGGCTATTACACGAGCCATCTCCCTTTTTGTAAAACACGCTTCACCAAATTTCGATACCTACAAGTTGGTTTTCAATGAACAGGTACACATTCAGATTTATTCATGAAACAGTCAAAATAACAAATATAAACTGAAACACACGAATATGATACTAAACATAACTAAACACAATAGATCTACCTCTTTACAAAAATAGTTGTAGATAAATGGGGCGTACTCTACCTCGGATAAATTGTGGTTTCTGGTAGTACCAGAGTTGGATCATTTCAGAAAGAGAAAAAAAGTAAAATATTAGCATCGAAAAAAAAACATTCTCCTCTACCTAGATAAAACACAATTCAACTTAAGTTGCAAACTTCTAAAAATGTGACCAGCCTACAGCAGATGTTCATTCGGTCCTCTGGTCGCACACTACTATCACCAATACGGTATTTTTCATAGGTATCGGGAAAAAGAAGTTGCTTTTCGCTGCATATCAACCCTCCCTCTTTCAATAACCCAGTTCATTTTCTCAAAAGCTTACGACTCAGAAGGGCAAATGGGTTACTATATGCTTAGAAAACAAAGGATATCAAAAGAATACGTTGAAATAGCTTAAAATAATCAATAGAAAGAATTCAAATCTTTTTAGTCTGATGAAGCCACTGCAATCAAACGCTTTAAACCAGATTTGTGTTCAAAAGGAATCTACCATTAACATGCAACTTACATGGGAACCTGACTTTTAGCTTTTCATCTATTTGGTAGCACTATTATTTCTTAATTAGTTCACACAAAACACCAATCTTAATCTACTGAGTTCGACTAATTGCATTTGAATGTGTACTGCTTACCTGATAATTATTGACCTATTTTACTTAGTGACTTTTATAATCTCATTGTCGAAGTTTTACAAAATTCGCTTTAGACCCCAATCTAAGTCTTATCAAAACTTCAGTTGCAACCAGATATATAGTTATAACACGATCATATGACATTTTGACTTCATTTCGGTCCGTATAGTTTTCTCTTTCCTTTGCAGTTGTCCTGCTTTGGTATGCATCAATTAAGCTAATGTACGGTAAATATTCTGTTGCAATTTGTTGTTTTACATATTATAGGGTTTACGTATCCGCAGATAATCAAAGAAATGATAAAATGAGTTTATTGGTCCTGCATCAATGCCTATTCTTGCGTATGAAAACTACGTAAATAAACTATCCAGCAAAAAAGAACTACGCACCAGTAAAATAGCTTTATGTTTCTCCAAAATATGAGTCTTTTCTTGTCACACTCAGTCCAGACCATTAATCGAAAACTTATTACACTCACTACATCTCGGACGTTTTTTGCTACAATTTTCATACTACTCGAAATTGTGTAAATGTCTAACAATTTGAAGTGAGTAGTAATAAAAAAAAATAGATGATAAGTTGTAAAATAATGGAAAGCAAACCTTTGAAACTACAACATACTTTTTTAACGGAAGCGCGTGGATTATTTCCATCTTCATTTTTAATTAAATCATTTGATGGCAAAACATCACTCAGATTATCTACAGATTTATTACGAGATTTCGATGCGTAATTTTCATTTTCACTATGATCTTCAACATTTAAAGTCCAACAAGACTTGGACTGTTGTATTGGTCCACGATATAATCTAGATGAATGCCGATCGACTTCATTAACATCTTCATAGACCTTAAGACGTGCAGTTAGACTGGATATTTGATCACGACATTCATAAATCAAACGTGACAGACGATTGGCTTCAGATTTTATACTATCCCGATCCATACGTACGCCATGCATTTCCTGAATTAACATAGCTTTCTCGCTAGTTTATTTAAAAGGAGTAAGAATTTGGCTAAGCACATAAATAGTAATTATAAGTTTAAAATATATATATATATATATATATATATATATATATATATATATATATATATATATATATATATATATACGTGAATATTACAAGACATAAATCACACCAACCGTTAACTACAGAGAATTAAAACTGAAATGGCGCAGTTCAAACTTCAATTTTTATGTTATCAATCTCGATCATCTCCCTATCTAAAATCGAATTTTCAATACTCCTCCATATTTAAGAATATGCTAACAATTTGTCACTCATAGACATTCATTAAAATACGTCTTGAAGGAGCACAAACAATAAAAACTGTCATAAAGGATAAAGGAACAAATAGTGACAAGATGAATTGATCAGCAATAAAAGATACTTCTAAAAAACGAATAAATCCAATTTCATCTAAAGATGCTAATAATCGACTTACACACCCAATAACATCCATAGTAAGTATGAACATAAAAAGATCAAACATTCATAAAAGTACTGTCAGCTTTTCACTTACCCTGTCACTTCATCTAGTTTTCGAATGAGGTCATCTTTTAAAACATTTAAAGCGTTTCTGGAATTAAAAATAGCAGAAGGCAGAGAATAAAAAGATGTACGTTTCGATACTAATTCAAATTCACAATCTCAGCATACCTAACACGAGGGGAGTAATTAAATATATACAGAAGCCAACTCAAGTGTGGAGATGCTAGTTATTGGCATAGGTAGTCAGTTTTCAACAAGAGAGTCTAAGGTCCAGATCACACCCCAAATACCGAGGTTGAAGTAACCAGTGGTTATAACCCCTTGCATGAGTCTGTATGCGGTAATCGAATTATGGAGAGACGACATGCCAAGAGGTATGATAACCTAACGACATACTGGGACCGCCTTTCTAGTGGGAAATTATTCAAAAGAATTGATAACTGACAAAAAAAACTTACTTTGTTTCATGTAGATCGTTATTTTCTTTAATTAATTTCTCAACTTCTTTAATCATGCCTAAATAATAGTTGAAATACCGAAACTGAACTAAGTGAAATAAACACAATACTAATTTAAAATACGATTATTAGAAAAGCCATAAATGCATAAAATGAATAAGCTCAATATTTTGTAAACTGTAAGATGCAAAATCAAAGCAACTTTAACATGATTTACAGGATAAGTTTCGAGTGTGAGCACCAACTGACAAACTACATTACTCAACTAAAGGAATACCAAAAAATCTCATTAAAACCAAGAAATAAGCCAATTTGTGAACAATAGATACGCACATAGATATCAGGCTCATGGAAACTTGGTGCTGACACTTTACAATTAAAACAGTCACCATAAATTGATATTTTTTGTAGTCACAAGGCACCTGATCATTAAAACTAGAGAGTAACGCCTAGCCATTTAAGAAGTAGTTCCGAAATTACAATTGCTTGCCAAATTTGAGATGAGTTATGAAGTCTGACCACCTAACCATTTAACTCAAACACCAAATGCAATAGAAATCACACACGAGAAACAAAACACTACTTTATGTAAAAAAAAAATGAGCGTGACAAAAAAACTACTGAAAGTATACAAACTTAAAACGCCTCTGCATGACTGGTCTACCTCTATACCCAATCTAACAGTAGATGTTAAGAGTGCCAACAACTTTATTCAGATGAGAAAAGTTCCCATGATCCCGGGTGAATTAGCAGGTGGAGGAATCTCAGTGTCGATGTACCTGTCTCAATTTACATAAGTACGACACCAGTGAATAAAGTAAAATTTGAGAATGGTGATTGAAGTCTGTGTACGGTGCTGTAAGGTAGAACAAGGTTTCAAATAACTGACTACTCGCAAGTTATTAGCGTCATTTGTATAGTTTAGATCAATAGAGAGAGCGGTAATGTTAGGTGTATATTACTAGGTTAGTCATTCAGCCAATACCAGGGAACTAATATGCAAAAAAAAAGCAAGGTAGTGCACTAAGCTGTTTCGGTTATATGTTAAAGATGTCTAGAAAATGACTAGTTGGAGTGTGAGTAGGAAAAAAATACATCTGAATTATATATAGTACCACCATGCCAGAAGAGTGGATAACTGCGATTGGCGAAAATTGACATCTGGACAAACTTTATAGCTCGGAACGTGTTTATCTAATATGATAATATCTAATACTTTTAAGTTCTTCATTCCTTTCTAATTTGTTTCCGTTGGTTTTTCTAAAATCCTTTTTACTTGTTTTATTTGTCATTTCACTGACTTATACAATCAATCAGTTGAAGTGGAAAACAAAACACAATCAATGTACAAACAGGTTGAAGATATAACTCAGAAACTGGCAAAATGTTGAGTGAGCCAAAATCAATAAGATTCCTTTAATACGCAGTGAGGTTAAATCAATAGAAGTGATAATAACAACAGAAGCGGAGAACTAAGAAAGTACACATAAAAAATTACAGGTAGATTATGAAAATACACGGTAGCCAAAAATGTGTGTAAAGGAGTGTTCATGTGCGAGGTAACGAAGTAGGCTATAAATCATACTTATTTTGCGATAAATCATGTTATCTGGATAAATACGCTGGCATGAATTCACGTACAGACAGACATGTGCTCAAACCAATGGCCTGTCACACCTTAAATGCATGTTATAGAATGGATACGAATTATATATGGATATTTTTTAATGGTGAATAACATTTACATGCAAGATTTCCTGGTTTCGGTATTCACTAAGATAGACAGTCAGTTTTCCTGCTTAAAGCGATTACAGTTTGAGAACGAACGATTTCAGTACATTTGCAGTCAGTAATGTTTATTGTGCTGGGATACAGAAAGCCTTTATGTCTGTCTCAGATCATCTGCTCCCGTATATAATGCTTACTTTTTTGTAGAAGGCATGATAGGTTTCAAGAAATACATTTTTTACTTCTTTCATATTGTAGCTGGTGGGAGTGAAAATACATGCTATGTGTTTCATTCTTCTAAATTATTACAAATCTATTTGGAGGAAAAAGTGTTCACCGGCTAATAACCAATCGATTAATATGTTTTCACCTCAGATACCTACACCTCCAAGCAGACGAGAACTGCATGTCAAACCCACAAAACAACCTGAACACTGCAGAATTTATCGAAAACATCAATACACAGATTCCACCACTGTGATGATTTGTGATTTTCGCCAATGCACGCGTTTCACTTAGAATCCAGATATCTTCAGTTATGGGTGTTACTGAATTATTCACTCTTGACATTTTTTTTAGCAGAATTATGACTGAGTTGCATTAAAACGAGGGGTGGCCTAACCATGATATGGCACCGATCTATGAAGTCTCTGGCTGTTGACCTGAAGTGCATAAGCTACCTGAGTCGGGTCCTCAAGACGATAAGAACCAATAGTTGGAAACTGCAATATAACTTAAAGTTAGTCACAATGGCATAGATGCTCACACTCCTTGTTATCTTTAAAGTCATGAACACTTTCGTTAACCATCATCTGCGCTTTCGTGTTTCATATACTACTGTTAACACTTATGTTATTCGTTTTCTATCAACTTTTCCTCAACATGCTGCTGCGACGTATGGTAACTTTAACAGATGCAATTCTGTGTAAGATACCATCTTTACCTATCCTTCTTTCTTGGTGAAACAAATATTACTTTTGAAAAAATATCAAGATAATGTAAATGGAAGTTATGCAAGGTGAATGAACACTAAACTCTTTTCCAAAAATAAAAGTAATGCACAAAAATAAAATGAAAAAAGTGGTACGCATTAAAAAGGAATCACCACACGGCATATATAATGAGTTGAATCGCAAAAATGCAAAGTAGCTTTAAAGCATACGGTTTTTCAGTCCAAATGGTTTAAGGTACGCCAGGAAATACTCAAAAGATGAACCATTTCTGGAGGTATTTGAGGACGGTGTTTGAAGATTATCCGGCAGATTAACTGAAGCGTTAGTCTGTGTTGAAGAATCCCTCCTGACACACACTTATCACTGATTTTCCCAGATTTAAAGAACCTAAGGAATCATATAGTCATCGTTACACGAAAATCAGCCTGACGAGTATGGTGTCAATGATTCTAAGTTCGTTAGTTACTAGACGCCTAAACCGAGCTTGGCAACACCAAACCTGTGAAAACCAGTCAGGTTTCAGACGTGGTCGTCGATGTATCGACACACTTATCGGCACTCTACACCATCCTGTCCTGAAAGAAACATTCAATTCAGTTGGTCGAAACGTTTTATGGCAGCATCTCTCGTCGAAAGCAGTGTCGAGTAAGTACATTACTCTGTTGAAGGCTCTGTACTCGAACACTCATGGGTGTCAGAGCAGAACCAATGGTGAATTATCAGGTGAGTTGTGTATATCGAGTGGTGTCCGTCACGGATGTTCACTTGAAGGAAAAAGGAGTAAGGGTGGAGTAAGGATGGTTTATAATGACAATTTGTACATTACTGATAAAATATTATAACCTTGCATTGAAATGACAATTTGCACAACCTGTTTAAGTTCATCTTCTTCTATCTCGTCTTGTTGTTGATATGGTCACATCATCTTTTGCGCTTATCTGGGCAGAATATTTATCCACCGCTCGTAATTGCCTATAACTTCTCCCAACCTCTCAACATATACTACTTATATGCATATTCTTATCAGCAGCACCCACTACACACTCTGTATTGTTGATCGATTTTGTGAAAAGTGTACCTACGTAGGTTTGCCTTTCGTCATCTGAGTTAACAGGATTTGTTCTTGTTCTTAGTCGACCTAAATTACACATATGACATTGTCCTGTTTGGCAAAAACGCTACAAACAGTTACCGAAGATGTCAAATCAACCCTGATAGGTCCTTGAACAACGAAGTCTCTGCATAGATACAAAAGATTGTCTTATATTTAGTCAACTTACACCCCTTACGAAACTGCCACGATATTCTTCCAATTGCATACACGGAGTCGAGTGTACTGAGCTGCACATCGACCTCTCTGTCTCTCTCTCTCTTCTGCTACATTGATGTGAAACGTGGCTATCAATAGTAGGAGACATGAGAAGCCTTTCGATGTGTACAAACACCGTTGTCTTCTCTGCATGTGTCGTGTGCCATGCTCAGAATCGTTCTCAGTGCCATGAATGTATCTACATATTGGCTTCATTGTAGTTGCCATAATGAATTTTAGCATTCCTTCATTCCTCCTTGTTTTCTTTTTGCGAATTTCTACCACTTTGACTGTTTTCTTTCATATCCTTTTATTTTTCATTATGATACATTTTCGTTTGATGTGTTGAATTAGTGCGTGACAACGTGAAGCGTTATGCAGTGATACCAGGTCTCAATGTTGATATATGTCTTTCTCTCTTTCCCGATAAAACTTACCTTCAAAAAATTAGGAAATTTGTACCTAAATCCTACTCTCACATAGTTTAGAACTGCAGTAACATTATTCTTAAGCTATTCAAAATATGACCGTTTATACGGTAAAACTATTCCTAATAATTTTTAACCTGGTAGTGACAAATGTGTGTGTGTTAATCGATGTTTATATAATGCGGTAACCTATTTGGAGAGGATACCAATTAGTGAATAAACTTTTAGCTGCAGTATCGAACACTTTCATATAATAATGGAAAAATGAATTCCTCCAAAGTTGATATATAAGAGATGACACAAAATCAAGTCACATAGCAACCATTTACTCCGTTGCATAATATGTGAACCTGCAGCATTACATGACAATCCAATCGTAAAATAATAAAAAACAAAGTATGCGATGCTATTAGAAATTATGATTAAAAGCTATTTTGGATGTGTTGACTGAAGATTTGATGGGTCAACCAATGGGGAACAGAACATTAATCAAATGTTACCAAGATATCCAAAAGAAAAAGCAAGAACCATTAAAGTGTTAGAATAAAATGCTGTGATAGTGAACACTATTAATCCACTTTACAATGACAACAATGAAACCAAAACCAAGCATTAAAAAACCATATCTATACATACGGTGTAAACCAATTCCAATCACAAGTGTATTGATATCATTAGTGAGTAACACATAGTTATACAAAGGTGTTTCATACTTTACCCACCTAAAGAAGGATCATTAACTTCAAGTGTTTCTGAAACAGGAATTGAATATACACAATGGGAAATTGCTTGAAATTTTTGTTTTATAAAGTTGAATGAAATAACCAAAACACAGTAAACAGGTAAACAAGTAAGTTATACATTACAAATAAAGGGTCATATGGCATAAAACAGATGACAAAACTTGTGTCACAATGCATCTGGTTTAAGCTACCAATAGTCGTCAAAATATAGAAAGAGGAGAATAAAATATCTAATGACATAAGAGAATAATATTAGAAGACAGAGTAATTAACTATAATTATAGTTCGTTCAGTATTTCAAGCTACATATACCATTATTATCAATTGTGAACAACTGTATAAGGTCTCTAATTATCTACTCCATTCAGCAAGAAATATAGAATCCAATATGAATAATGCATTAACTTGACTACTATAAGTTTTCTTTCCATACAATATCAAGGTCAACAGTGACTGATCACGAGAAATATACGTTCCATATAATAACAAGTACTGTTTAAATGGGATGATACAAAAAGTGAAAGTTCTAGTTTTACCCTCAGTTAGGAGAAAGAATGATAATCTATAATTTTCACAAGGGACAATAAGGTTGGAGGCCAAAAACACTATATTAACGACAGAAGAAGAATGGGCATACACCTATAGAGATTAGAAAGGATTACTACTAAGTGGTTGGAGATGGCATACGCGACATCACAAATTCCAATCTTGTCACATTAAAGTTAAATAAGTAGCATAAAAGTAAATAGCTAATCAGTGATTCTATTATACTATACAAACAATTGGAAGAAAAGGGATGCAATTTCTTACTTCTAACAATAGTGAAGATATGATCACTTGTCATAATGGATAAAGGACGATGAAAATTAGTCAATAACTACCAGTAGTAATAAGTAGTACTAGTATTTATACTTTTTACATATTCCAAAGTGTTATTTAGTAAAATACAATCCAATTAATGCATATAATCATAACATTTAAGTCGTGAATAATAGCTTGAAAAATACTTTGAATTTACGACTCAAGTGGAAGTTCTGATAATTCATTTTTTCGCATTGAAAATATGACCATAAAACTTAACGCCAATGTCAGAATATATACAAAACAGGAAGTAAAAAACAAAGTTATACAGAATTAAGGTAGCACAACAGATGGTAATAATGACAACCAACAGTAATACTCTTTTTTTATATTTACTTTCGCTGAGTTTTAAATCTTTCATTGTCTATGTGAAAGGTAAAAGAGGATCAAAGCACCACTGACACATGTTCCAAATATGAGATACATATGACAGTGCTTTATGAAATTAAGAATATGTTAAGGCATGAAATATGTTCAAACCATAGTAGCTTGTAAGATATATTCAGTAAATTTCATTATCCCCTAACATACAAATTTAGACTTTCATATCCATTGTGTAGTGTTTCCACTAAATGTGAACAATAGTCAGTCACTGAACTTCCTATGTTGTTAAATGCGACTACGTTCAAACAACTTCAGACTAAGAATACATTAACGGAGAAAATACAAGATTAAACCTTTCTATATTCATTTTCTATAACCTTATATGTTTCAGAAAGCTGAGACACTGAAACCTTTTTTGTAAGCAATATTAGATTAAATCAATAAACGTACCGACATCTTCAGCATCATCTCCAGGTCCTGCGATTGAAACTGACTCCAAAGCTATCTCATAATCTACACTACAACGAAAAACATATTGCATACTGGATAAGTAGAAGAGATAAATCAAATCATCAACTAACAGTCAAAATAAACAATCCCTCAAGTTGGACTTATATACTAGCTAAGTGTTCAGTTTACTAAACCTACAAACATTTAGACCTATTTAAATTAGTTAATCTCTCTAGCAGCAAAAAGCCAAAAACGTTATTTCATTCAAACCAAACTCAATAGTCTGACGATTCAAGCATAATTAGGCAGACAGAGAACTGAAACAACTTGAGTGCTGAGAAAGCTGTCCAGGCGGTTGACACTTCCAGGCTTCCTACATCGTGGAAGGCTAATTCTTCTTCAGATAACTGTAGAAGAAGGGTTAGAGCGTGGTCGCAGAGCTCAAGAGACATCTGGTTGAACCCGATCACACACGGTCTTTTCGCAAGTTTTGTTTTGTTGCTTTCGAATCTGACTACGAACCTATGATACCGGCATCAGCTTGCCATGGGTTAGTGGGAGTGCACTATTTTGGAGGCCGACCTTCTTGAACCCCCTTACTCCATACAAAAGGCAACATCAGCGTGGTACTACCAGTTATCCGATAGGGATGACTTACTGCTGTCAAACCACATCCAACCAGCAGTATTAATTCGCCTTCAGACGCCCATCCTAGAGTAGCAATTCACACTAAACGATCTTGCCACTATCCAACAGACTTTTCTGGTATGGTAGGATCTCGAGAAAACAATAGTTCCAAGTACTGTAGGTCATTGGGTTATTGTGGATATGTAAGCCCGACCACCACATCAATGTACCAGCTACTGGTCGGGAAGCATAATTAGATGGCTAACATAATGTCATAAAATAAAACCAATAAAAGCAAGCGATACATATGACAGTCAGTGGATGAATTAATAATAAGGTACTCATTACTACCTGCGAAAGAATCTTCAAACCAATCCTTCTTCCATAATGAACATATAGAAGAATGTGTGTACTGCATCATATCTGACGATCTATTAGGCTAATCATACTTTCAGTATTTTTAGTGATAGCAACTAACAACAATCAGTTGTTCTTCAATAAACTGCTTTTATGTTGATTCAGAACGTTTTTTGTCAAAAACACACAATTCTAAGGTAGGACTTTCAGTTACTGAGTCGAAATGTGCTCCGAAATGAAGATGATGTCCTGAGTTTTAATTACATACATCATGCGTGTACGTACATGCATGATTTTCGTGTACTGAAGTTCCACTGCAGTTTACCATAACACTACTACTCTGAGAAAAGAGAATATTTATATTAGTGCGATGAACCTATGGATGATAAACCTAGATTACTTGAAATCTGAGCAGCTTCTATCTCACATGCTCATGTCACTCAGTACTGTATTTGCTTATAATCTATCAGACTTATCGATTATGCAAAATAATCTGCAGGCCAACAGGACAGTCTCTTATACTCTTACGCTGAATATGGTCTCCGACATAATATAATAATCAACTGAATATTTGAATGTTAAAACGCTAAAATGTGTGAAAATAGTAGATCTTAGTGGTTTGGTGGGAAACGCATTACAACTTGATTCGGTAGGAATAATAGACCATGGAATACTGCACCGTTGACAAAATAAAACTAACCACGAAGAGCAGTGAAATGATTCACATAAACGCTACACACGCTTAGAAGGCATACTTTGAGACTTTGTATCATTATTTCCGATGATTTTGCACAGAATATTGCTTACAAACAAAGCATATGAGCAGGTTAACAATTTTTAAAGCCGATCCGATAACACAGGACTTACGTGTCTTCATATAGATCAATGAAAGAGGAAGTGCGATTGTTTGCCTTCAGGGTATCAATGAGTGATGCTGATATGTTCGCATTGGGTTCACATTCTAATGGTAATAAAAAAGAAATTAATTAGAGGTGAATTTTAGAAGTTTAAATGAATGAACTACATTAATGATGACTTTCACGCCAAAAGTACTAGGTAATGCACTGCTTACTTTTCCCATTAAATGTATTGTCGTATCAGTATTACTTTCGATCAGCTGAAATTCTGGTTGGCAGTGCAAACAGGACTCAATAAATAACCATATACTAACTTGAAGTATATGTAATGTGTGAGTGTTAACAGTAATGCATGTCTACAAAGTGATGGTGGAATTTTTAGTTCGCTGACAACCAACCCGTGGATTCTACTTAGTTTCTACAACGATACACGCTAGATTCAGTTTATATAGACTAGTAAAACACTGAAATTAAAAAAAAGTGAAATAAATATGAATGAACATTGCATAGACTTTAAATGCATGGGTGGTATAGTATTTTTCGTGAAAAAAAAACCTAATGAGATTGGAACCCCCACGTTCTAATCTAATAAGCACCTTCCTTAGAGAAGTGTCCATTGACTTCGGACTGGGAAAGTGGACAGTAAATAAAAGCAGAGGTTGTAAGAGTTCAATAATTCACACAGCTATACTGTTGCATATTTTTAAAACTTTTGTCTTGTATAGTTCCTTCCCCCCATTTCCCAATAAAACCATTCTTATATGATGTCGACATATTACGTATCAAACAGTCTCTTACATATGCAGTTACATCGATTCACACACATATAAGAGAGCTCTTGATGAGATCCATCTATAATGTGCAATTTAGTGCCAATGATGAGATATACTGGCAAAATGATGAAATTACAATGAAATTATTACTGGAACCTCTGATGGCAGTTTGTTTCTGATCTTAGCCAAATTACTGAACGTTTCGACGTCTATAAGAGATACATGATATATTTCTAATTGTGAAGCGGATATAGGTCTGGATGACATTCTACATCCATTCAACAACTGTCCCCTAGGGTCGTGTACCCTAGAGAAGGAAGTGGAGTCAGTTATTCCTTTTTTGATGTGTTAATTACGAGACACCGTAATGAAACACTAACAAGATGTCTACAGAACACCAACGTATAACGGACAGTTGGGTATCAACCATGAGGAAAAGAAACCTTATTCCGTCGTTCTCCATCAAAAACAAAATATTTCTAGACCAGATTGTGAGATCAACTTGGCTTTTCAAGAAGTACGCTTGCGGGGAATGATTATACTACCAGATTTGACGATAAAAATATGTAAGAAAGGCATGTGGAACAAGTCATCGACCTAGTTTCTAAAAAAATGTGTTCATGAATCTAGAATTTAAAGGTAATGTAGCAACAGACATTCTGCTAAACCGTCTTTTGAGATCAATTAGCAGGACATTTTTCGCGTCTAAATCTCATTTGACCTTTACCGGTCGTAAATTGTTCTCTGTATGTGTAAAATATAATATCTGTCGACAGACCACCTCCATGTGCCTTTACGAGTTAACCTGCTGGTGTGGAGCAAGGCACATTGGCCGTAGCTAGAGACTCCTGTCAACACGTATAAGAGAACATATTCCAGCCCGATTTTACTAGAGTAACCTGAAATGCATTATAAGTTCTATCCTTGAATATTTAGTCGATTTTAACCGTATTTGGATATTCTCAAACATTTCACGTTTTCCCTGTATTCAATTTCCAAAAGCAGCAGAGGCCATGAACTGCAGGCCAACCTTTATGTGTAAAAGAAGCACGTACAGTCTTTGTCATAGTTTGTTGCGTTTCCTTTTTTCGACTTTCCCACTTTTTAAGATGAATTTTTTACTCTTATATAGACATTATCACTAATATTATTTCTATATTTGAAAGTTTCCGGTGTTACTTCAATTAATCTTACCAATAATTGCAACTTTTAACAACATATTTTCATTTTATCGCAATTAATCTCATTCATATTACCTAGTCCTTTGTTTGTTTATTAGCTCTACCATATTTTCACCCCTTTGTCATCCACATACACTCTATAAACGACTAAGAATACCTTACGTAACCCCCTTTTGCTAACATTTAACCTTTACTTCATCAACTGACAACATTATTACAACCATAAACAACAATGTTGTTATTTCAATTTAATTTTCCTCACAGATTGCAGCTTGAGAATAAATTTGTTGCTGAATACCTTATTTTGACATCAATTTATAGATAACAGAAGAATGGGAGGACGAATAAAACCGTTAAGATAATCGGAGATTAAAATTAAATATAAAAAGGAAAAAATGTACATTATTATTATTATTATATACATTTTATTTAAATTAACTTGATAAGTGTTTGATCAGATTGTTCGAAATGTATTGCGCAAAGACATCAGATAAACCTCATTTTTTTAATCATTCTATCCAAATAATCGAAATCCCAAATTACAAATACTCCCAAACATCTCAAATTTACCACTATAGTTTTCGTGAGTAATCTAAGGGTGTCAGCAAAACTCCCTCTGAAGAAGTAACAAAACTAAAGGTTTAAACCCATCTTCTTGATGACAATATAAGATACTTTTCTGTGTGCAATTATTTTCATATGCAACAAACCTGTGTAAAGACCGGAAATACCGACAGTTCCGCAAAACGAATCAGTAGAAGAAGTGGCTATGAAAAAATGACAGATGACAATGACAGTATTGAGCGCTAGCTAAAATAACTGCAATTAACAGCTAGACAGAATTCATGTTAGGTAATTTAATCATAGGAAAATTAAAGTGTAATTAGAATTAAATTTCTTACAACTTATAAAGTATGATTTAATAAACTGCTCAAAATTATATGAAGTTTTTATATCTTACGTGTTAAGTCAACATCGATATTTGGAGAGTTCATAGTGTTATTCTTTAAAACATCACCAGACTCGTTTGGATTTTGATGTGAATTATTATCCGTAGGAGGCGAATCCTAAAAAACATTTTAAAAAATATTTACCGTAGTGAATTCGTGTGTAGCTTAACAGAATATTTAATTCAATCCCCGGCCTTAAAGCACCTCAATGAAGATGCATATTCTCTTTATATGAATAATAAGAAAGTAGGGCCTCGCTGTAGTGATAGTCTACATTTCCATGTTAGTTTGTCTGTCATATATTATACGGTGAGATAGTTTTTTCAATGGATAACGTTTTGGATACAATTTATTGTCTTAGTCAGTTTAAAGTTACCATTTGATCACAGGTTCCAACTTTGACAAAAGGTAGATAGGAGTAAAATTAGACAGTAGTTATTACTACAATGAGGTATATAGTTTGGCGAAAAAGCTTCTAAAATTTCCGTCTTCATAACCGTACGGATAAAACTAACCACAAACTACGCGTCAAAAGGTAGACAGTCTCAACAGCATACCAACTGTACACTTGTCTTCAAACTATAGTCAACCTTTATAAATCATGACAATAACAAACATACAAAAGTCCTACTGTGAATATGTGCAATATACCTAAAGTCGTACATGTGGTAACAATTCACATGCTTACACACTACAACAACTGTGGAGGTTACCTATTCAATGTAGTCCTAAGCATCCGTATGTGAAACTAATGATGCAAACAACTATTAACACTTGATTGGCTACTCAATTTTAAAAAAATCCTCACAAAACAATGCCACCATTGATATAACAATACTATAACAACTAAAAAGCCCTTAAGTTGCCTCTTGATTGCAAGAACAGCCATTGCAAACACTCATAAATTAACCAGTATCGATTGGTTGTCTAAAAATAACGCAAGGAAATAAAACACCAAAAACGATATAACAAGTTTCTGAAAACCACCGAAAATTGTGTCAATTAACTTGTTAAATATGACAATGATCACATGCTAAAACATACAAATTATCGCACCTTTTGTATTCATTAAGAGTAAATGTGGTATATAACATGACTGACTATATAAAGAAAGGAAATCGATAGTAACAGTATGTAAATGTGTATATAAAGTTCTTACGGTAGTCAATCTCAGCACTGGATCATTCGATTTCATATCCGTCTTGTGACCAACACATACTGTTCCTGGTTCGAAATTCTGACTTGACACTGATAAGTTATTTGTTTCAATATAATCCACATAAATTTTAAGTAGTTTAGTGTATCTTTCATTTTGAGCAGACAATTCTGATTTGAGGTCTTGTTCCTTTTCCTCTAATCTAAAGACTGTAAAAATATGCTCAAAGTGAATACAATTTGAATGATCTAAGACTTTCTATCATTTTCTTTTGTTCCACTTCACTGGTTCTGACAAAAAATTATTTCACACTTCTAGTTCATCAACTTTACACATTCAGCCACTACAATACAAGAACAAAACTCATTTCAATAGTTTTAGTTTAAGAGGTTAAACAGGACACAACCTTTTATCTATGCTATGAATAAGACAAGGTCTGAAGACAATAGAAAACGAGTAATATATGATAGTTCCAGGATCTGCAATGGGTTTTTTTTCAAAATGAGACTAATTATTACACCGACTGCCAAAAAACAATAAAATATACTCAAACAGAAAAGAATCACTAAAACAAAAGACATCACCTTTCAACAATGTTATCCGAACAATGAATGAATCCATCTCAATACTTATGTATAGGTTCGTGTCTTAGGCAAAGAGCTACGCCTGTTGTGAGAAGTCTAGGGATACCTACTGCAAGATTCAATACTTCGGAGATATAGCCAAATTCCAAGCTACGATATGTTTGAAAAACAAATGGATCAGGGATCAGCTTGCAAAAAGAAGGAATTTTTTTATATCAGGTGCTTAACTTATGCATGTTACACCTGCTTCTCAATACACAATTATCTTGTCACTATTCTTCGCCTTCTTCATAAAGTTATACTACTGTGATACCTATGTTATTCTAGGGAAAAACAAAATAAATTCGCGTATCAAACACACGGAACTGAATACAATAATTTAGCCAAGAGTAATTCATCAAAATGATCAAATACGAGAAGACAGTCAATTAGTCATCTATAGTAAGGATTAAGGGAATATAGCACTAAATCCTAAATTGTGCAGATAATAGTTTGGTTCATGCAATTTACACAAATTTAACAATGTTATAACCTTTCACAAGTTAAGTAATCATAGGTTACAGTGGAAATGTGGCTCGTTGCTCTAGGCCGTTTGGCTAGCAACTAATGGGTCACAACCAACAGCTGCTAGCTTGAAGTGGTGATTACACTTGCATATCACAATGGCCTAATTAGCTACACTAGCTAGAACGCTCGTTCCCCCTAGGTTCTACTATGCCAGAAAAGTCTGTTGATAGCAAGACGAAAAGCAACTACTGTTTTAGCGTAAATTGCTACAGTATGGTGGGAGTCCTAGAGCGAATTCATACTGCTAGTTGGATAGGGTGTGACAGCAGTAAGTTGTTTCCTTCAGACAACCAGCAGTACTACGCTGATGCTGCCTTCTCTATAGAAAACGGTGGTTCAAAAAGGTCGGCCTCCAAAATGGTGCAGTCCCACTAGCCTATGACAAGCTAATGTCGGTGTCATGCGTTCATAGTTAGGTGTGACATTGGTAGGGTGTTTCCCGGGGACGACAAGTAATGCCACGCTGATACTATCAGCGCACTCCTCCTTGCCCTACACACAGTTTTCCGGTGGATTTTATCTGTCCGACGTTAGGATATTCAAATCTTATTACAACATTCTTCAAAAGACTAAGTGTCATAGGCCTCAGGAAGATGATCCATGGACTTTGCGGTCACAAGTTTTTTCTCTTTCAATAATCAACAGGAGCAACTTCAACGGTATCGGAAGCCGGGAAGTGTCAACCGCTTGCACAGTGCAATAGTATGCAAGATCCAATCGAGCATAACTTATCCTCTTTCTCCGCAGTCTTCACCTCCTGATACCAATATTAATCCCCTTAAAATTTAGTCAACCTTTAACTCTACGACCATCCCCAAAGGTCAAAGCCATTGAAACCTTACTTCTAGTCTCCTAATACCACGCTATCAACCTCATATTGGAACTCTCAACATCTGAACCTTATGTCAAATAAGATAGTAGACACCTCCCGCCAGAGCTCTGGAATCTCGAGTCATGGATGTAGTTGTGTTTCTGAGACACACTTACAGGACTCAAGTGTGGTTATTTACGTGGCCTAATCCGATAATTGTGGTGAATCGTCGAGGTTCACTTTACGAACATAAGGAGATCCGATGGCCAACTCCCGTGGACTCGCTGGTGTAGGTATACCATTGAGCTGTTGGGCAGAAAGTGCGCTTCTCAGCTCTTTGAACTCCTTTCTACTTTATTGTTGTTATTATTTATATTCATGTTACTGTTATTACTTCGTTTCTCATGTTCTTACGAATTTATAAATAAACAGTAGAGGATAATCATTAATTAGCAGTGTTTCCTTTATATATTTCAATTCCTTGAGTCCTTGTACTGACTAGTGAGTTTTATAGCTCCACCATTCAAACAATTGACTAACCCCCCCCCCCCCTAATTGTATGAGATGAATCGAAGACCAGATACCTGTTAAAATGTCCTCTTCTAGACAGCAGTATTTAAACCACGTCATGTCCTTCGTTTACTTCACAATTCAACATAACCGATTCTCCTTGTTCATTTTCTACCTCGTAAGTGAACTGAGTTTCATCTACTATTGAGTTTATATGTGAAGAAAACTGTCAACAGGTTCCGATTTTTAAACACAGTAAATGTGTCATCCAAATCTTAGGTGTAGGAATAAACGTTCGTAAAGCCATGAGTTCCTAACTATATATAAGTATATCTGCTGCGATTAGGTATATGGGTGATCCCATTGCTGCTCATTCTGTTTGTCAATAATTTTTGTCCTGAAAATTAAAGACTGTGGAGGTCAGGCACAGCCGTACATCTAACGTGACCTCGCAAACAAATACTTTGGTTCTATGAGTAATTTATGAGACAACATTTACTTGATTTCTGACTGCATCCAGTGCCATATTGATTGGTAGTTTAGTATAAAGGCTTGTTACATCGAAATAATATATTTTTTTCATCTTCCTCCATATGTAGGTCATTAAATCAAAGTTTCAACTCGCAGGAATCGACTGTCCAGAATTTGAACGGTTTCTAATAGAACATAATAATAATGTCAAGTACTTTGATAGTTCGTACGTTGGAGTATTTTTGAAGTCAACTATCGGTCTAATGGGATAATCTTGTTTATGAATTTTAATAGTACCGTCAATCCTGCTAGCATAATTAGTTCTAGACATTGGATTAAACCACTTAAACTCACCCAGATATGGTTACAACTGGCGCATCAGATCGGCTGTAGATTTTTTAATCTTATTTGTTTTCTCGTACTCACGACAGTTTCTGTAGGTTTCTTGATCTCCTCACATTCTCCACTTTGAAAATGTTCATCAATTTTTTTCAAAACAACCTGATTTGTCCACAAATACTCTAGAGTTAGTTTATCAGATCTGTCAATAACTAAGTCACTATCCTTTAGGAGATTATTCACAGAAAAATTCTCTAGTCTGGTTAGATTTCGTCCAGTAGTCTTTTGTTTTTTTTGAGTGCTAGTGAACGTCGTGATCTAACCAGTTCAGCAGTTGTCGCATCCACTAAGCCTAATATTACTTCGATGATAGGTTTTAGATGACCTAATGTCACGATGAAGTTTAATCCTTTTTCAAATATTTTCGCTTTAGCTAAGATTAGGGCTCACTAAGAACAAAGAATGTAAGGAGATAGGACTATAAAAATCAGATGTCGAAAGCTGTGATTACTCTGATACGATTTATCATGAACAATAATTTATGCTCGAAACGTCATCAAGTTAATAATACTATGTCACTGTGTGCTACACCAAGTAAACAAACAGTGTGGAATTGCAAGCGAAAATGCATTCTAATGAAAAACAAAAGGATATGAAAGAAAACAGTCAAAGTGGTAGAAATTCGCAAAAAGAAAACAAGGAGGAATGAAGGAATGCTAAAATTCATTATGGCAACTACAATGAAGCCAATATGTAGATACATTCATGGCACTGAGAACGATTCTGAGCATGGCACACGACACATGCAGAGAAGACAACGGTGTTTGTACACATCGAAAGGCTTCTCATGTCTCCTACTATTGATAGCCACGTTTCACATCAATGTAGCAGAAGAGAGAGAGAGACAGAGAGGTCGATGTGCAGCTCAGTACACTCGACTCCGTGTATGCAATTGGAAGAATATCGTGGCAGTTTCGTAAAGGGTGTAAGTTGACTAAATATAAGACAATCTTTTGTATCTATGCAGAGACTTCGTTGTTCAAGGACCTATCAGGGTTGATTCGACGTCTTCGGTAACACTGCAGGGAAAGAAAACTGGTCGGTAGACTTCGTATCAAGATCAGACGAAGAAAATGAACTACCTGAGATCGCATACGGTGTACATGCAGGGGAACAGGACCCATTAAAACTTATTCACCTTCAAAAGTCGGACCCTACTCTCAAGGAAGTGATAAAAGCCATAACTGAAAGAATGGAGAGTAAACAAAGAGTTAAAAACGTTTTTGGTGCAGAAAGAACGCCTGAGAGTGAATACTTATGGAGTTCTGACTTGGCAAGAAAACGATGGGAGATGGTTGGCAGTGATTCCGAAATGCATACGCGACGAAATTTTACTAGAATGCCACCAGTTAGCTCATACAAGTGTCGCATGGACAGGCAAACTCAGACAAAGTACATATCGGCCAGGTATGAGAGATGTTGCCAAACACGTTCTGGGCTGTCAACATTGTCAGTTAGTGAATGATGATTGGTATATGCGACCGCCGTTCCAGTTGATTACAGTAGCAGCAGTTGGTGACCTGTGGACGTAATGGGACCATTTCCGCAGACACCTAGTGGCGACCAATACCCGTTGGTGATGACGGAGCATGCTACACGATGGGTAAACGCCATCGCGATTCCTGACCAATGCAGGAAGACAGTGACTGCGGCGGTGATGCAGCATATTGTCGGGGATCACGGTGTGCCGAAAATGATACTGACCAATCAAGGTCCTCGTTTTAGAGTGACGAATTACAAATACTGTTTGGAGCAGTTCCATATCGAAAGGATAAGAACGATACCATATCACCCGTAAACTAACGGCCTGAGAGAACAGAATAACCGCAGCCTTAAGGAGTGGCTAGCTTCGAAAGGAGAGAACTAG